AGAAGCAATTCCTCCACCTGGAATGCTCAATTAATAACATAGTTGTGTATAATATCACGACAGTCTACGCTAGCCCCAACGAGCATGACAGAGGGGAGCTTTGGGACGCCATCTGAAGCATAAGTCAAAGAACAAAGATCCCCTGGCTGATTCTGGGAGATTTCAACTCCATTACAAACTCTTCAGAAAAGCAAGGTGGAGCTCCCTTTAACTATGCAAAAACAAGGGCATTTAATGAATGCATCGAGGATTGTGGTTTGATGGACCTTGGCTTCAATGGTCCTCGTTTCACCTGGTTTACTAGCGGATCTAGAATCAAAGAGAGGCTTGATATAAGCTTGTGTAACCTGGAATGGCACCAATGCTTTCCTGACACAACTAACTACCACTTGCCTAAGATTAAGTCTGATCACAGGCCAATCTTAACCTGCAACAAGAGAGAGCACAAAGAGGAAAAGACTGATGAGACGTTTCCAATTTTTGGCCCCTGGTTATCCCATAATGATTTATTTCCCCTTGTTTCTTCTTCTTGGAACAGTGGTAGCGAGTTCTGCTCCTCTTTGCAGGGTCTGGCTGACATTCTCCAGAAATGGAACAAAGAAAGCTTCGAAAACATCTTTCGAAGAAAGAAACACCTACTCAACAAGCTAAATTCTCTGGATTGCATGAATGAAAAGTTCCCTTCTAAACCTTCTCTGGAGAAAGAAGGAGAAGTTCGAGAGGAGTTGGAGAAAACCTTATGGCAGGAAGAAATCCTTTGGCTTCAAAAATCCCGAGCCAACTGGTTTGTCCATGGTGATCTAAATACCCGATTCTTCCACAACAACACTTTAAGCAGAAGGAAGAGGAACAGAATCATGAGGCTCAAAGACGATGGTGGAGATTGGGTCACGGATCCAGACATTCTTCAAGCAATGGCCATAGACTTCTTTGTGAAGCAATTCACAAGAGAGGAAAATGAAGGTCGTCATAGCATTGTGGCTGATTTCCCCAGGGTTGAGGCAGCATGCTGTGCGAGGATATGAGAACCTCCATGTATAGAAGAAGTTAGACAACTCATCATGGGAATGAAGAGCATGAAAGCCCTTGGCAAAGACGGATACCATGCCCTCTTTTTCTAGAAATGTTGGAATCTGGTGGGAAAGAGCTTCTACAAGTTTATTGTTGACTGTTTCATGGAACCTGGAAAGATCAGCAGGGCCAATGAGACACTCCTAGCCCTCATCCCCAAAACTGATGCTCCCATGATGATGAGCCAATTTAGGCCTATCAGCCTTTGCAACATTGATTACAAAGTGGTGGCTAAATGCATTGCGAATATGCTGAAACCACTCATGAACAAACTCATTAACCCTACTCAGTCAAGTTTTGTTCCCAAAAGGCACATAACTGACAATATTATAATTTTGCAGGAAACTGTTCACTGCATGATGAAGAAAATTGGAAAAAGGAACAATGCTGCTCAAGGTGGATCTCGTCAAAGCATATGATCGCATTGACTGGAGGTTCCTTGAAGAGACTCTCCAAGCAGCAACATTCTCGAGAGCTGCATCAGGATCATTATGGCTTGTGTCTTGACCTCAACTACGCAAGTTCTCTGGAATGGCGGTGAAACTGAGTCTTTCAAGCCAAGTAGAGGACTTCGTCAGGGATGTTCCTTATCCCCTTACCTCTTTACTCTTTGCGTTGAACGTCTTAGTCAATGTATTAGTAAAGAAGTTAGGGAAAAGAGATGGATACCCATGAAACTGTCGGCTAATGGACCTCCCCTGTCGCTCTTGTTTTTTGTAGACGACCGTGTGTTATTTGTAGAAGCAAATGTTAGACAGGCGGAATGTGTCATGAAATGCCTCACTGATTTTTGTGATGCTTCTGGGGAGCTTTTCAGTAAGGAAAAATCTAGGGTATTTTTTTCTAGAAATCTTAGAGAGGAGACTAGGAGAGTTGTTTGTGATAAGCTGGAAATCCAAGCCACTTTTGACCTTGGAAAGTATCTTGGGGTCCTTGTCCTCCATGGTAGGATTAATAGAAATACGTTTAGGTTTATCCTGGATAAAATTGACCAGAAACTCACTGCCTGGAAAGCCAAAACTTTGTCTCTAGCGGGAAGAGTTGCGCTTGCTTTGACTGTCCTTAACGCCATTCCCACCTATGCAATGCACACCTCCTTCCTCCCTGCTTCTGTGTGTTGCCATTGATCATAAGATCAGATGGTTTGTGTGGGGATCCCAAGAAGGGAAAAGAAAGGTCCACCTTGTTGCTTGGGAAAATGTTTGTAAACCCAAAGAACAAGGGGGCTTGGGTTGAGATCTGCGAGAAGTCTTAATTTAGCTTACATGATCAAGCTTGCCTGGAATGTTTTTAACAATGAGTATGCTCTGTGGGTTCAAGTTATGTAGGGTAAATACTTTAACTGGAAAGAGGGGAACATTGTTTCAATGAAGAAAAGCAATCATTCTCCCATTTGGAGGGCAATTCTGCGTGCCATGGAACCCATGAAGAGAGCATCGACCTGAAGTATTAGAGATGGGAGGACTACTGCATTTTGGAAGCACCCTTGGCTTGAATGTGGGTTGATCCTGGAGGACCACTTACTGAGAGATTTCAGAGTTGGAAGCAAACTCGGCGGTTGCAGACTGGGTCACAGATTCAGGTGAGTGAGATTGGAGCAGGTTGGAGAATCTCTTACCGAACGATGTTTTTTTAATGATTGCAGGGGCATAGACACCAAAGCCTGAGATGGGGGAGGATAAAGCAATCTAGGGAATCGAAGTTGATGGGAGATTTCACCTCAAATCAGCGTACAAGCTTGCTGCTGATGAGCTTGAAGAGGATGCAATCCCAGTTTGGAAGGACTTGTGGAAATGGAAGGGGCCGCCAAGGGTAAAGCCCTTCCTCTGGCTCACCACCCACAACAGACTGCTTACCAACAAAGAACGAGAAAAACTGAAGCTCACTAACAACAACTGTTGTCCTCACTGCACAGGGATCGATGAAACACCAAAGCACATACTCAGACACTGCAACAAAACTAGGGGTGTCTGGAACCACTTCAAGATGAACAATGGTCAAAGACAAAACTTGGATTTCCAGACTTGGGTTCGAGAGAATCTGAGAGATGAGGAGAAAGGCTTTGAATTTGGCATCATCTGTTGGCATTTGTGGAAACAGAGAAACGAAGAGGCAATGGAGGGTCGAGCTTACTCTGAAGCTGGCATCATCCAACAGATTCGTTCATGGCTTAAGATTTATGAGCAAGCTATGGCTAATGAACAGTCCATCTCGGCCAGCACTTTGAGGCATAAAGAAAACAAGCAGATCTCGTGGCGTCCACCGGAAGAAGGCTGGATCCAAATTAACGGATGGATCAGTCATCTTCCCCACAAGCAAAGCTGTTGGTGGTGGCCTTCTACGTGATCGCCTTGGACATTGTAAAGGTGCCTTTGTTTGTAACCTTGGTGCTTGTTCGATTACTAACGCTGAGCTCAAGGGTGCAGCTGAAGGGTTGAATTTGGCTTGGACAATGGGATTCAAAAAGATTCATCTGAACCTCGATTGCATGACAGCCATCAACATCATCAACTCTGGAGAAGATGATCACAGACACAACCTCCTCGCCAACCATATTAGAGAGTTAATTGATAGAGAATGGGAAGTTAAAGTTTCTCATGTGTATTGGGAGAGTAATTTTGCTACTGACTATAGCTTAGTTTGGCCCTGCTGTAGCTTTTGCAGAAGCAGCTTCTGGCTGGAGCTTTTAGACAGTGGCGGATACATATTCAACCTACGATAGTAATTTGCGTATGAGAAAAAAAATATTTAAGTGGTAGTGGGACACCTTTAAAATTTGGGAAAATGATTATCCAATCTCCCGTAGTAGTTGAGTATTGGTATAAATAATATTTAAGTAGTAGTTTATGTGATTTAAATTTGGGACACTGCCACTATTAGTTAATATATTTTCAATTACGCTACAACTCATTTGTTATTGTGTTTTAGATCCAAATATAATAGTAAAATATTATTCTTATCTCAAATTATTTTCAAAACCTAACGATTAAACTCAATTACGGGATATCCTAGTCTAGTAAAGATATGTCGAGAGATATTTGTTGAGCAGTATAAACACCGAATGCATTTTATCATTTGATGAAACACGTCTGAACTTTTAATGAAACTTTATTAGTTAGATATTTTCATATTTAATAATTATTTAATTTAATTCTAATATTTAATATAATTTTTTATAGAGGACACCCCTACGTAGAATTCCTGGATCCGCCACTGCTTTTAGATAAGTACTTTTAAAAAAAAGCAGTTTAGTGTTGGGTTGTAAAACTATTAGAAGTGTTTTTTAATATAAGAGGTTGTGTAAAATGACTATAAGGACTTATAATACAAAATATGAATAAAAATTCTAAACAATAAAAAGTAGTCAAAATGGATCTTGTTAGATTTCTTTTATATTAAATAATATGATTTTATAAATTATTTTATTTTTAAATGATATAAATGAAGGAAAATGATATTTTCTGAAATAGAATTAAAATATGGTAAGGATAATCTTGTATTTTCAAAACAGCTTTTCGCAGAAGCTCCAAATCGGAGCTGCTTTTATGTTATACAAAAGCGCTTTTCGGCTTTTCAAAAGCCGAGTTTTTACAGGTGTTTGGCCCTGCTTCAGCTTTTGAACCCGAAAAGTACTTCTAAAAGCCGGGCCAAACATAGTGTATCTTGCTTGTATAGGACATGATTTTCCTTTTGGCACACATCCTATCGATGTGAGCGACCCAAAACTGTGTTCGTGGCTCTCCTACGATGTTATAAGCATCACCCATGATAGTTTTGTTTCTATGAATTAGGATGCTTGACATCCGTCTTTCAACCCAAAAAAAGAAAACGATGAATAAAAATATTGTCACGGGACAACCAAAAAATTAGTAGTCACGCTACCCATTTCCCGTTGGCTTGGCTTAAATCTGTTGATTTGGTAAGAAATGGCTTAACCTATAGGACTAGAAGCTTCCAGCTTTCTTTAACCAAATTACAACGTGTACTCCTGCCCCCGTACCAGGACAGGGCTTTACTAGGGTTTAACCTCTCGTCCTCTCCCTTCCAAGTTCCATCTCCGTAATCAATCCCATTACCGGAGAAAAATTCCAATTTTTTCCCTCTCCTCTGCCAATAATCATTCAGTTCAATTAAACCAACTACTGCCCAGGGAAAATCGCTTAATTCACGGGAACCGGTGAAATCCGAGGGGGAAAGAAAACGACATAATGGTTCGTTCTCGTGGCGTTTACCTCGTGGGTTCTGCCCTTGCTCGCCGCTCTTCTTCATTGCTTTCTCAACAATCTGCTCCTCATTATGTAAGACAAAGGGAAACTCTTTTCTTTATTTCTCTGCTCTCTGCTCTCTTCTCTGTTTTCTGTTGTTGGGCAATTGGGAGATCGATTTTTGCTGGGATATAGGCTCACATTCTTTTGGGACATATAATTCTTCACTTGCTTAATTCTCAGGTCTGTAGAAGTTTGCTCAATTGGAGCTATAGTAGAGGATTAACAACTACAACTCGAGGTTGGAATCAAGCTGGGGCCACCACCAATTCCTTTCTCCCAAACAACAAAAACGGTAAGACCTGCTCTCTGTTTTTTCTGCAAGAATGGTGAATATGAAGCTGTGAACTATATATTACCTCTGTGGTATTGGGTAGGAAGAGAAAGATTTGGACCAAATTGGTATTACTCCATTTACTGATAACCGTATTCCACATGTGTACAGTTAATTATAAACTTCGGTTGTCTTTTGGAGCTTTAAAGCCAAATGGCTTAAGATCAATTCATGGCACAGGTACATCTCTTTTCACAGAATGCTGATCAATCTTTTACCTGGCCTTTATTCTCTTCTCTTAGGCTAACCACAGCTCGGGATAAAAACAGGGGAAATATAGCCTTTTAGCCTCCTCTTAACTGAATCAGTTGCAACTATGGTTTTATAATTGTTGGTTTGATATTTAATAAATCATATTTTGGACTTTGAGTTTTTTATATTTGTTCACAACAACTCGATACGAACATTCCGATAAAACTTAATCAATTTAGATGATACTTTTTTTATTGTTGAAATCAATTAGTTAATCACTTTGATTGTTGTTCACATCTTAATTGGTCAATTATTGGTATTGAAGTTTAGTAACATCATTCGTCTATTATCTAGGTGATTTAGTGATCTATCATTTCATTTTTATATAAAAGTGTTCACGAGTATAGTCGATTATTAGTACTTGAAATAACTCATACACTCATAATATATAAATGATTCAGTGATTCACTTCATCTTTATACAAAATTGTCCATAAGTATAGTCAATTATTAGTACTTGAAACAACTTACATCACTCATTTACTATCTAACTCATTTCTCTATAAAATATAACTTCTTAAGTGGAAAACAATTCGACCCACTCTTCTCTTCTCACAAATTTATTACAACAAATCATCATAAATTCATCTCAATTTTCATTGTCGGATGAGCAAGAGCATGCAGAGCTTAAAATGTTTGACCACACACTCAAACTAGAACTTGAGAAAATGGAGGATGAGGAACGTGAACCACTTCCTCAACAAGTTGGGAGTCGAGGCTTCACTAGACATCATAGACAAGTTTCCCATTAAGAGTGTTTATGTTTGAGTGTGTTTAAATGCATTTTATTATGTTTAGGTGAGATTCATTGATAAAAATTAAGAGGGTTTCACTGATAAAATCTATTATGCTTTAAATATAATTTTTTTTATCTTCAAACAACAAATCAAACGGACGAAAGTTACACCGAAATGGATTTCGCTTCTGAAAAACTCACAAAACAAACTCTTTACATTAATTACTTAAACAAAAAAAGAAGTAAAAGCAGCAGTAGATGGCCCCGGGTGGCGCGCTGCAAGCATGCAAGGCTGGCCAGGGCATCAAACCTCCTGGGGTGTGTCTACCTCTGCGTTATGACCGTGGCTCCCTTTTTGAGAATGGCCGTCTCCACACCCATATGCCCTCTGGTTTTCGCACCACCCAAACCAACCTATTTTGCCCCTTAAACCCGTATTAAGCCTTTTAGGCATTAGTTTGCCCCATGGTTGAAGAGGTTTTGCTAGGGGTAAAGGTTTATTTTGCCCGTTTACCCTTTGGGCTGTGGCCAGTCTTATACCTTTAATCTAATCTAAGTCGTATTTCTCCTTTCAGCTTTCAGCTCAAAAGATTACTACGATGTACTTGGTGTCAGTAAGAATGCGACTCAATCCGACATTAAGAAATCGTACTATCAGGTAAGTTGGTGTCTCTTGTTTAATCCCATTTTTACTTAACTTGATCCTGCAATTGTTCCTCTATATTCGCGATCTCTTTTAATATCTTTACACTTGTGCTGCCTATTATTTGTAGCTAGCAAAGAAATTCCATCCAGATAGTAACAAAGATGATCCTGAAGCTCACAAAAAGTTCCAAGAAGTTTCTAAGGCTTATGAGGTGCTTTTCATTTTTATGTTTCAGCTTCCCCTTTATCTCTACTATATGCTCGTTGTAATTGTTGTAATGGTTGTTACATTTTATGATTGTCTCTGTGTTTCAGGTTTTAAAAGATGAAGAAAAGCGCTCCCTATACGATCAGGTTTCACTTCTCTTTTGAAATCTCTCAACACTTGTAGATAGTATCTTTTGTAGCTGATGTAGTTTTTGGAGCATAATTTCATAACAGCAACTTGATGCCATGTGCATTCCCTTTTGGTTTCTTCTCTTTCAAACACATCCACATCCACTCATATTCACAGCGTGAATATTCGAGGACCAGTGGCTCGATAGTTTGTATATGTCCGTCAGTTAAAGCCTTCGATATGATATTGCATTGACTGTTTGCTGGATATTGTTGTACAATGTAGTGTCTTAATATTGTATCTTATTCCTGGTTTTGAATTTTGGTGATGATTTTTTTCTGATATTGGTGGTATGGTCATCTTTTAGGTTGGACATGAGGCCTTCGAACATCAAGGTGACAATGGTTTCCAACCTGGTGGTGGGGCGGGATTTGAACATCCATTTGGGGACTTCTTCAGAATGGACGATGTAATGACTTGCTCTTGAGCTTCTTTCTTTCTACTATCCGTTAATTCGTACTGCTTCGGCTGAATTCTTTTTCATTTTCCTTGTTGAGTTATGCCTCTCAATAACAAAAGGCTTCCTTTCCATGGGAGTTCCATCTTGAGATGATTCTAACTCATTGAAACTTTTTATGAATGGTTCTACAGTTATGATGTTGCTATAACTTACAACTCTAATGATCAGTCAATGCTAGTGTAGAATCCTTTGGTATTTGAAATCAGGACACCCAATGTTGTCTATCAAAAGTTTCTAGGAACTTGAAGAATTCCATTATAGAACTTGTATAATGTTTATCTGTTCCTATTAATGTCCATAATGGTATGCGTCCTGATTTTGATGCTAGATATTCGGCAACATGTTTAATCAGCAACGGCTTGGTGGCGAAGATGTCAAGGTTTCCTTCTTGCCCAGTGTTTCTTAGTTTTCTGCTGTAGTATTGATGCTAATATGTCTTATTTTCCTTTAAAAAAATCTTCGGTTTTTCTAGGTTGCTCTTGAGCTATCCTTCATGGAAGCTGTTCAGGGATGCACAAAAAATATCACATTTCAAACTGACGTTCCTTGTGAAACATGCCGTATGCACAATTTCTCTGCTGGCTTCCACCATTTCAACTTACTGTACTTGACATCTTTTCTCAAACTTGCTTAGTTGGAATTTTGGATGCATCCATTTTCAGGTGGTGAAGGTGTACCTCCTGGTGTAAAACCTCAAATCTGCAAACGCTGTAAAGGATCCGGCACGGTTAGTATTCTAAAGTGTAACTTCACTGGGACCAGGGTTTTATGCCAGGTGTTCTTGACAAGATGTTAGACTATGCAGGTGTTTACACAAAAAGGGTTTTTCAGTGTTCAGCACACCTGCAATCAATGTGGTGGCGCAGGTCAAACTGTATCGGTATGGTGGAAACTCAATTGGATTTTCACTTTTCAACTTTTATGTTATTGTTACCTGTCTTAAGCAAATTCACACCATCTTTCTCGACCAGATTGTTCCATAACAAAACATTTAAATATCATTGTGTAGACTGACTTGTTTGATTGCAGAGCTTTTGCAAGTCATGTCAAGGGCGCAAGGTAAAAAGAGGGTCAAAATCTATCAAATTGGATATAGTACCAGGTATGCTGTTTTCCTTCTGAATCTTGAATGTGGTGCCTCTATATGCTAGGATCCTTTATGGTTTCTTTTCAATCATCGTTCCTAGAATCACATTGAATTGGGTTTTTGGATACTTACATATTCCATTGAATAACTTCGTATCCCCCATTGCTTCTGATGCGAGGTGAGCATAGTTTGACTTGAAATGCAGAAATGCAGTTAAAATGCCAAAACTGATGTAGTAAATCCATTCAATAGTCAATGCGTGTCTTCTGATTTATTCTATTTTTGTGGCTCCCCAATGGAACTATAAATTTTTGTCGTCATTCTGAATCTTGAATATGGTGCTCTATAATCTATATGCTAGCCTCATTAATGGTTCCTTTTCAATCATAGTTCATAGAATCGCATTAAATTGGATTTTTCTTGCTTTCCATACTTCATATTCCATTGATTAACTTTTTATCCCCCATTGCTTCTAATGCAAGGTGATCATAGTTTGACTTGAAATGCAGAAATGCTGTTAAAATGCCAGAACTCATGTATTAAATCTTGTTCATTATAGGAGTTGATGATAATGAAACAATCAAGGTGCCTAGGAGTGGTGGAGCAGACCCTGATAGAAACCAGCCTGGTGATCTCCTCGTCAACATAAAGGTGACATTCTTTGTGCATAAAACTAAGTTTTCTCGTATATCATCTCTCTCTTAAATGGCACGGCTTGTGCAAGAGGCAACGCCGTGGATGGGATATGGCTATCTCTCTAGTCTCTTTAGCTAGATACTAGAAGGTGTCTGGTGACTTGCTGTTCAAAGTAGAGAATACTTATTATTTCTGAATGTACGGCTTAGTATGTGGCTCTTGTAGTTAGCCCATTCTCATGGGCTGATGTCGGTGCATACTTCCTCTAACTGCCACCAAGGAGATTTCGAGTGATTTGCAACAATGCTGTTTGTGTTTGCTGCTCCAGGTCCGTGAAGACCCAGTCTTCCGCAGAGAAGGTGCTAACATACATGTAGATGCTGTTATGAGTATTACCCAGGTAAATGATACTACTGATTATTTTGTTGGGTTTATGAGTTCACGTAAGAGAATCAGTTTATAGGAAGGTTTGCCCTTGTTTTCTCACCTTTTCTGGGCTGGTCATTAGATGTATATTAGTAGGTCTTGTTGTGTCTTGGGATTATTTAGCGGTTACTTTGAGTAGGTTGATGGAACCTAATTTTGCTATTTTTTGCAGGCAATTTTGGGGGGAACAATCCAGGTCCCGACACTCACTGGAGATGTCGTTGTTAAGGTAATGTTCAAAAACCTTTATTAATATTAGTAGGAAAAAGGCCTGGAAGTCAGAAGCAGTTGGCCAATGTGGTGTCTTCTGTCTTGGTCTTTTCAGGTTCGTGCAGGCACCCAGCCTGGTCAGAAAGTAGTGCTGAAGAAAAAGGGTAGGACCTTGATAGCAGCTATCTTGCCTTGATATGAATGAATTACCGTAGAGTGACTTAGTTCTATGGTTTTACTGTGTGGTTTTTGTTTGTGTTGTGCAGGAATTAAAGCCCGTGGCTCATATTCTTACGGCGATCAGTTTGTGCACTTCAACGTCAGCATCCCAACGTGAGTGTTGAATTTTTGTTGATGGTATATTATAGAAGCTCGGCCCTTATTCGGAATGCTTATAATAAAATTTGTGTATCACTCTTGTGTGTAGGAGTATAACACCAAGGCAACGTGAATTGCTGGAGGAGTTCACCAAAGAAGAACAGGGAGAATGCATCAAGCGCGCTGCAGCTGGGGCATCTGGCTAACAGGTGGAACCACAGGTCCATTAGTCTCTGCTAGAAAAGCCTGGAATTAGTAAAGGTGTACCGAACACACTGAATGGGACGGCCGAGCAGCTAGCTGATGACTCTTCTCCCCTGCCCTAAGTTTTGTAGCAGTCTGTAATATACTTTTCTTTGCTAGCAGTCATTCTTAAAAGTACGTAAAGCATAATTACAAGAAAAGAAGCACCATCTTTGCGTGTAAAACTCCCATTTTTGTACATACCATCATAATTGCAAACTGTTTTTGCTCGGTGCAATTAAGTCTTGAAGCAAAAGAATGATGATTTGGACATTTGACCTCTGGATTCTTGAGTGTTAACAGCAGAATGCTCATGTGAGTTCGAGCGGACTGCAGAGAGGCTGCACGGTATCACTACCATTTGGTACTTGGTAGTGTTCGCGTACCACTATCATTTGGTACCACTAGTCACTAGTATGTACCAGTGAGTCTAACACCAAAACCCAGATGTCGGAGGGTGGTGGCGGGCATGGCAGAGAAAGGAGGAGGTGAACGGCTGTAGAGTTGGTATGGGTTAGATTAGGGTTTTATTATTTTATATAGGAGGGAGAATGATTGAGTGTGGTAAGTTTTTTTCCTTAAAAAATACAATTCGTTTAATATCAACCATCATTTTAAAAATGACAGGAGAGAGACAGGAGAGAGATTACATCTAATGGCTACAAAGTGGATTGTGACCGTATGTCATCCCGGTACAATCACATATTTCGGCCGATTTTTTGAAAGACCATTTTCCTTAGATTTTGACGCCTGCTGATCAAGGATTCAGTTTGAGACTATTCTCCACCTGTTATGAAGTCTATTAATCGTCGATTTTGGCAAATTTTTTTTGGAGGACATTTTCATAATTTTATGTGCGATTTTCGAAAGACCATTTTTCTTAGATTTTGAAGGTAATAGAAGGATTCGGCCGGAGGCTATTTTGCACCGAAGATTAAGTCTAATAGGCACCGATTTGAGCGCATTTTTTTCGAGTCTATTTTTGTCAGATTTCAAAGGGGTACATCACGAATTTCAGGCATTTTTTTGAAATGTCATTTTCCTTAGATTTTTCAGTGTACTGATCAAGAATTTGGCGTGAGGCTATTCTTCACTGATAATGAAGTCTATTAATCGTCGATTTTGGCTGTTTTTTCAGAGGGCAATTCGTTATTTTATGGACATTTTTACGAAATGCCATTTTCCTTGTATTTTGAAGGCTATAGATCACGGATTCAGTTTGAGACTATTATTCTCCAATGATTAAGTTTATTAAGCACCAATTTGAGCGGATTTTTTTTCAGGTTTATTTTTGGAAGATTCCAAAGTGGTACCACCACATATTTTAGGCATTTTTTCCTTGAATTTTAAAGGGTACTGATCAAAGATTCGACCTTAGGCTATTATCCACCAATAATGAGGCCAACCTATTAAATGTTAATTTTGGAAGATTTTTTCGGAGCGCATTTTGATACTTTTATAGGCGATTTTTCTCGAAAGATCATTTTCCTTGGATTTTGAAAGCTACAGATCACTGATTCGGCTCGAGGCTATTCTCACTTGATGATTAAAACTACTGATCCTATTCTCCACCAATGATTAAGTCCATTAAACACCAATTTGAGTGAATTTATTTTTGAATGACTTTTTCGTAATGTTTTCGGTGATTTTGTTTGAAAGGCCATTTTCCTTGAATTTCGCAGTCTACAAATCATGGATTCCGCCTGAGGCTATTCATCAACGATGATTAAGTTCATTAAGCATCGATTTGGGCGGATTTCTTCCGGATTCATTTTGGCATATTCCAATGGGGTACTATCACAAATTTCCGGCGATTTTTCCAAAATCCAATTTTCTTGCGATATGTTTGGCTACAGATCACGGATTTAGCCCAAGGTTATTACTTATTCTCCATTGTAATGGAGCCTATTGATCCTATTCTCCATCGATGATTAAGTCCATTAAGCACCGATTTGGGCAAATTTATATTTGGATGGCATTTTCATAAATTTTTGGGCGATTTTTTTCGAAAGGCCTTTTTCCTTAGATTTTGAAGGCTACAGATCATGAATTCGCCCCGAGATTATTCTCCACCTTTAATGGAGTCTATTGATCACTTTCTCCACCGATGTTTAAGTCCATTATGCACCGATTTGGGCGAATTTATTTTTGGATGACATTTTCGTAATTTCTCGGTCAATTTGGTTTGAAAGCGCATTTTCCGTGGATTTTGAAGGCTACAAATCATAGATTTAGCCCGAGGCTATTGTTCAACGATGATTAAGTTCACTAAGCACTGATTTGGGCGGATTTCTTCCGGGTCCATTATTGACAGTTTCCAAAAGGGTACCATGACAAATTTCGAGGGCGATTTTTCCAAAATCCAATTTTCTTTCTATTTTGGAGGCTACAAATCAATGATTAAGTCCGAGGTTATTCTCCACTGTAATGAAGTCTATTGATTCTATGCTCCACTGATGATAAAGTCCTTTAAGCACTAATTTGTGCAATTTAATTTTCGGATGACATTTTCGTATTTTTTTGGGTTATTTTGTTTGAAAGGCATTTTTCCTTGTATTTTGAAGGCTACAGATCATGGATTCGGCCTGAGGATATTCTTCAACAATGACTAACTCCATTAAGCACCGATTGGTCTGATTTCATTCGGGTCCACTTTTGGCAAATTCCAAAGGGGTACCATCACTAATTTTGGGCGATTTTTTCAAATTCCCATATTCATTCGATTTTGGAGGCTACTAATCACGGAATCAGACCGATGCTATTCTCCACCAATTATGAAGTTTATTGATCCTATTCTCCAACGATTATTAAGTCCATTAAGCACCGATTTTGGCGAATTTATTTTGGGATAACATTTTCATAAGTTTTTTGGCGATTTGTTTTGACATGCCTTTTTCCTTGGATTTGGAAGACTACAAATCTCGGATTCAGCGTGAGGCTATTCCTCAACGATGATTTAGTCCATCAAGCAATGATTTAGGCGGATATCTTCCGGGTCCTTTTTTGACATATTCCAAAGGGTACCATCATAGATTTCAGGTGATTTTTTCAAAATCCCATTTTCTTGTTATTTTGGAGGCTACAGATCAAGGATTCAGGCTGAGGCTATACTTCAACGACGATTAAGTCCATTAAGCACCAATTTGGGCGAATTTCTTCTGGTTCCATTTTTGGCAGCTCTAATGGGGTACCATCTTAGATTTTGGGCAATTTTTGCGAAATCCTATTTTCTTTCGATTTTGGAGGCTACTTATCGTGAATCCTGTCCGAGGCTATTCTCCCCCAATAATGAAGTCTATTGATCTTATTCTACACTGATAATGAAGTCTGTTGATCCTATTCTCCAACGATGATGAAGTTCTTTAAGCACCGATTTGGACAAATGTAATTTTGGATGGCATTTTAGTAATATCTTGGGGCGATTTTGTTTGAAAGGCCATTTTCGTTGGATTTTGAAAGTTACAGATCACGAATTCGGCCTAAGCCTATTTTTCAACGATGATTAAGTCCATCAACCACCAATTTGGGCGGATTTCTTCGGGGTCCATTTTTTGCAGATTTCAATGGGGTACCATCACAGTTATCAGACTATTTTTCGAAATCCCATTTTCTTTGATTTTGGATGTTACAGATCAGATATTCAGCCCGAGACTATTCTCTACCGGTGATGTAGTCTATTAATCCTATATTCCACCGTTGATTAAGTCCATTATGCAACGATTTGTGCCAATTTATTTTAGGATAACGTTTTCGTAATTTTTTGGGTGATTTTGTTTGAAAGGCCATTTTCCTTGGATTTTGGAGGCTACAGATCACGGATTCGGCCTGAGGCTATTGTTCAGCAATGATTAAATCCAGTAAGCACCGATTTGGGCAGATGTCTACCGGGTCTACATTTGGTAGATTCCGGGCAATTTTTCAGAAATCCTATTTTCTTTCGATTTTGCAGGCTATAGATCACGGATTCACCCGAGGTTATTCTCCACCGATAATGAAGTCTATTGATCCTATTCTCCACCAATGATTAAGTCTATTAAGCACCAATTTTGACGAATTTATTTTTGGATGACATTTTCATAATTATTTGAGCAATTTTTTTCAAAATGCCATTTCCTTAAAATTTGAAGCCTACATATCACGGATTCGGCCATAGGCTAATATTCAACAATGATTAATTGCATTAAGCATCGATTGGGGTGGATTTCTTCTGAGTCCATTTTTTGCAAATTCCAAGGGGGTACCATAATAGATTTTGCATGATTTTTCCGAAATCCTATTTTCTTTCAATTTTGCAGGGTACATGTCACGGATTCTCCCGAGGTTGTTTTCCACTGATAATGGAGTCTATTGATCCTATTCTCCACCGATGATTAACTCCATTAAACACCAATTTGGGCGAATTTAATTTTGGATGACATTTTCATAATTTTTTGGGAGAATTTGGTTAAAAGGCCTTTTTCCTTGCATTTTGAAAGTTAGAGATCACGAATTCGACCTGAGTCTATTTTTCAACTATGTTTAAGTCCATTAAGCACCGATTCGGGCGGATTCTTCTGGTTCCACTTTTGACAAATTCCAAAGGGGTACCATCATAGATTTCACACGATTTTTCCAAAATCCTATTTTATTTCAATTTTGGAGGCTACATATCACGAATCCAGTCCGAGGCTATTCTTCACCGATAATGAAGTCTATTGATCCTATTCTCCACTGATAATGAAGTCTGTTGATCTTATTCTCCACTGATGATTATGTCCTTTAAACACCAATTTGGGCAAATTTAATTTTGGATAATTTTTTCGTAATTTTTTGTGCTATTTTGTTTGAAAGGCCATTTTCGTTAGATTTTGAAGGCTATAGATCACGAATTCGGTGGAGGCTATTCTTCAACGATGGTTAAGTCCATCAAGCACTGGATTCGGCAGATTTCTTCGGGGTCAATTTTTTGCTGATTCCAAAGGGGGTACCATCACAGATTTGGAGCGATTTTTCTGAAATCCCATTTTCTTTCAATTTTGGAGGCTACAGATCACAAATCGAGTCCGAGGCTATTCTTTACCGATAATGTAGTCTATTGATGCTATTCTCCACCGAAGATTAAGTCCATTAAGCACCGATTTGTGCGAATTTATTTTGGTATGACATTTTCATAATTTTTAGGTGATTTTGTTTGAATGGCTATTTTCCTTAGATTTTGATGGCTACAAATCACTAATTTCGCCTGAAGCTTTTCTTCAACGATGATTCAGTCCATTAAACATCGATTTGGGCAG